GGTACACCACAGAAAAGGGGAAGGCCGAAGATGTACTGACCTGGGCCGTCGACGATGTTGCGCAGCGCGTTCTCGCACTCGTCCTTGAGGCGGATGCCGTTGAGGTTGCCGGCCCGCGTGCAGATGAAGGGCTCGGACGGGCGCACCAGCTCCTTGGCGCCGCGCTCCTCGCAGTGCGTCGTGTCGTACATCTCGCCCGCGCTGCCGGGCCGGGGCCACGCCGCTGCTTGCACAAGACCATCAGGACGGCGGTCGCACAATATTTTGTGGGCGGGTACGGCGGGCGGCCCGCGCCGGCGACGGGTGCGATAGCGACGCGGGCCCGGCGGGTACCTAGCAGGAGGAGGGCGGGCAGGGCCAGCCGGGGCGCGCACCACGCCGCGGCCCGCAGCTGGCGCAGCGCGGCGACCGGTGGACTCATGGCCGGCTCCCGCACCGCGAGCTACTCGCCGAGTGTGATGTGGTCCGCGCCCCGCCCCGCCCTGCACCCCTGCACCCCGGCACCCATACCCTTCCCCTCGACGGTTGTTACACCGTCACTCGTTCACGGCCGTCCCTTTGGTAGTACCCAGCCGCTGTGGCACGAAGGGCACAAAATAAAGAAGACTGTCGATACGTAGATACCCCTACCGTTTCCATGATCTCTGATAATAATAATTTCTGTTTGACTCCGCTTTAGGAGAGGATTGATTCATCGGGTATACCTTATCACAACCCAGAGCAACCACCCCGTTTTACTTTGGTCGTTGTCGAAATTGTAAACTATCTATATCCGAGCTTGTGGGGCTTGCGGGAGGGGCATTTTGTACGAGACAGGTGCAGGGGCAGGGGGACCCCCTCCCCTCCCCCGTCTTCCCTCCCGCCACCCCCACTCCCCCTTCCGTTCTCCATCCTTCCGCTCGCCGTTCGCCTCGCCGTTCGCTCGCTACTCCCTCGTCACTCGCCTCGCCGAGCCTTGTCTTGTTTGTTGATGCGCCGAAAGATTTCAGAGACTTCAGGTTAGTTCTTGATTTTGTGTGTCGACCGGTCGACCAGTGACGAAGTTGTTCGGAGTTCTTTGAGGCTATTTATCAGTTCCATTTTCTTTTCAATATATTTTTCTTTTGTCACGGCTGGAGTTGTCCGGGGCACTGCAGCTGACAACTTAAGCTTGTGCCTATATTTCAATCAATCCGGTTGGTGTCCTTTAGTATTTCATTTTACTCTCGAGGCTGATACCTCTCGGCATTCGGTACCGAATTTCCTTTTATGCAACATTTTTGTTCGTATTTCATGTGGTCAGTCTAACCTATTCGTGCAGCTCTGTTTGTTTATTTGATGTGTGGTGTGAATAGACAACACATGCTCTTAATCTCTGCGTTGCTTACTGTGATACCTAGCTGACATGGCAGAAATTCTGTTACATTAATACACATGTATTGAATTTGGTTACACGTTGAAGGCATTTTCCACTATAGTTGTAATTGCTTGGTTATGTCCTGCTCTCAAATGAAAATATCATCAATGTCTACTGATTTCTGAAAGCCTTCTATGATTTAGGATAAAACACATCAAACTATGAAACTGTGCTCTTGTGTAGAATTAGGTATAAGAATGTTTTATTTATACTTTATTTGCCATTACAGTTTTCTCTTCAGGATTGTTGATAGAAATCCAACACCATGGCGATGGACTTTCCGGCATCCTCGGATGTCATGATAATTGCTGGCAATTCCCATCCTGAATTAGCTAATTTAGTTGCAAGGTAAACAGACTTAAATATGAAGCCCAATTGGGAACGCTTGTCTCTCTCCTACATTTATCAGTTAGTTGTGTAACATTATACAACTTTTCTTTTCCACAGCCGATTAAACGTGAAAGCAGGAGATGCGTCAGTTTACCACAAAACAAACCGTGAAACTATGGTTGAAATTGGGGATTCCGTTCGTGGAAAGGATATTTACATCATACAAACTGGAACTAAGTATGTGCTAAAAATGAAGTTTTATCTTAAAGTTTAAAAAGGATTTTAAATTATCTATTTTTCTTAACATCAGAGATGTCAACAATAATATTATGGAGCTGCTTATCATGGCATATGCGTGCAAAACATCATCCGCTAGAAGTATTGTTGGAGTAATTCCTTACCTACCTTACAGCAAGCAATGTAATTATCTTGTTCATTATGCAGTTTATTTCTTACTTGTCATTTTAGGTATATTGGCCTCTAATTAAAGTTTGAAATGTCTCTTAGGCAAAATGCGAAAACGAGGATGCATTGTATCAAAGCTTTTAGCTCAGATGATGTGTAAGTCAGGTTTGTCCCATGTTATAACCATGGATCTGCATCAAAAGGAGATTCAGGGATTCTTTAACTGCCCTGTTGACAATTTGCGAGCATCTCCTTTCCTTCTGCAGTACATTCAGGAATGTGTATGTATCATCTCTACATTTTTGTTAAATTTGTTCACAAAATTATTTTAAGTGACACTTTTCCCTCCTTTCCTTATTAGATTCCCGACTACCGTAATGCAGTCATTGTTGCTCGTAACCCTGGTTCAGCCAAGAAAGCTACATCCTATGCAGAACGTCTTCGTTTAGGAATTGCAGTTATTCACGGAGAACAGAAGGAATCAGAATCAGATATGGTTGATGGACGCTACTCCCCTCCAACCTTGCCCCGTTCTCGTACAATGGATGTAAGCAATGGAGTGCCAGTCCACCCAGCCAAAGAAAAACCGCCAATTAATGTTGTCGGCGATGTGGGCGGACGTATTGCTATTATGGTGGTAAGACCAATTTTTTTTTTTTTTTTTCAAAATCTTCAAAAATTAGTATTTGAGTTGAATATTTTAATGCTTTAAATATGTCGACATTAAGAGTTGTTTCAATCACATTCCGCTTTTCTTGTTTTAGGATGATTTGGTAGATGATGTAGCATCTTTTGTAGCTGCTGCAGAAGTCCTAAAGGAACGTGGTGCATATAAAATTTATGTGATGGCAACTCATGGATTGTTGTCATCAGACGCCCCTCGTTTGATTGAAGACTCTCCCATTGATGAGGTGTGTTTTTAGCTGTCTCAAACTTTTGTATTCACTCTGATTTTACTAACATGCATTGCTATTTATTATTGCCATTTATAGTTGCTATATATCAGTGGGTGTTGACAATGTCTATTTTTGTTGTTGTCCAGGTTGTTGTCACTAATACCATTCCACATGAGCTGCAGAAAATGCAGTGCCACAAAATCAAGACCGTGGACATCAGTGTGATGTTGTCTGAAGCAATTCGAAGGATCCATAACAAGGAATCTATGTCTTATCTCTTTAAAAATGTGACTCTTGAAGATTAAAGCAAATATTTTATGTTGCTGGTTCTGTGCATGTGAAGACTAGATTATTCCAGTATTCTACCTTAAAGTACGTTTCAGTATATCTCACCTTCCTTCTTTTTATGATTTAATTATTTTGTTTGTTCTTTCTATTAAGCTTTTATCTTTTGGTTTAGGGTGTAGTTGGTGCTGTAAGCTCTCAAATCATGAAAGTATTTGTACCCTCTAATATTCATTCAGTATGTGGAAGCCGACTTTGTCATGAATCTATCCTTGCCAACTAGCATTTCACTTTTATTTCTTGCTTTAGGTAAATCTTATCTCACTCTGCAGTGTATTAATTAGTTTAGTCTTTGTTTTTTCTGCAGAATTTTAGAAATTTTTTGTAAATTAAATTCTTTTGTTGGAATATTTTTGTCCTCTTGAAAAAATAACAGTCCTGCTGTTTATTCGTATAGTTACCAAAATGAAAACAATGATCGTAAATTTTATATTTTGAAATTAATGATAAATCTATTTTTGTAGAGAGAGTGATTATAAACTCAATCAAACAATGGATTTTATTTGTCAGTTTTGCGACCCATTGTAGTCTTAGTCATTATTTTTTCATTGTGTAGTCAACTTATGTTGTCACAAGTATTGGTGTGATTGAAGATTTTCAGTACACTCTTGTGGGTTTTCTCGCAAGTCATGTACCTATATCTTTTAGGTATAGCATAGCCTGACTAGTTGGCCCTGACCCTGTAACTGTCGTGTACTTCTCAATGTACTGTAGATGCCAATATAGATTACCAAATGAAGTTACGTAGTCTCTGTAGTCTAGTGATACTTTTGGATCTTGAGTTATTGTCATCTGTGAGAACCAAGTATATGAATAAACTCTGTTGTTAATTTTACTTGATTTTAAATTGATTGCGAAGCCCATGACAAGGCCAATCTAATTTCATTGTTGGTGTCATTCACAAAGCCCCGTCTGCAATAATCAATCAAAACACCGTCAATTTGACAAAAAAGACGTCAATTTGATGAAAATGTACCCCCAAATTTGATGAAATTTTGACGAATTTACGTCAAATTGACAGTTTTTTGATTGATGATTGCAGACGGGGAAGCACGTTCGCATTCACCTAAACAATTAAAAAAAACTCAAATATTTCAGAAGCTTACAGTTCTTTCACTATCAAACAAACCCAGCCTGGGAGTTATGCAACCCATCACACACATCCTCCCCGTGCCAAGAAGCACAAACACGGAGTGCGAATACAGCCATCACTATTTACACAGACCCGGCCGGGTGGCGATAACCGTAACTATCGTCGCGTCGTCTGGTGCCAGTTGTAAACAAAGTGAAGAAAATAGTCAACAAATATTCCGCTAAGGTACTATTCTGATACAAATGGTGGATTCTCATTAAAATGGAAACTTCAAATTTTCGCCGGTTAGATCTATAAGCACTCTTTCTAAACCAAATTTTGTTTTTACAGGTTATTTATGATGTACACACTGAGGCAAAAAGTTGTGTGGTTTGCAATTAGTTCACGCATATTTGTGCTTCTTGCTCAATGTGTATTTAATGCTATCATTCCTGATCATGATGCTGAAGATGTCTTCAGACGACCCATTTTACCAACCAAAGAGGAAAAGTTTCTTGATCGCTTAGTTGATGTACTATTAGGTGGACTTGAGAGATGGGATGCTCAATATTTTCTCCACATCGCTGAGCATGGATATGTGTACGAAAATACTCTGGCATTTTTCCCACTGTTTCCCATAACTGTGCGCTTCTTGTCAATATGTCTAAACATACTCACTAGGGGACTGATGTCTTATAGAAGTCTCCTCCTCATCACGTCAGTCTCGCTTAATACAGTTTGTTTCGTGAAAGCAGCTGATGCTCTTTTTCACTTAAGCATTAAAGTGCTGGACAACGAAGCTTGGGCTTATAAAGCCGCTTTATTGTTCTGCATCAACCCAGCCAGCATTTTTTTCTCAGCTCCATACTCAGAAGCAATGTTTGTATTGCTTTCATTTCAAGGCATGAGACATTCTATAGACAGACAATATTCTAAACTTAGTGCAATTCCTTTTGGATTGGCTGCAGCTGCCAGATCCAATGGTGTTCTTAATGTAGGGTTTATAATTTATTGTAGCATGAAACAGTTCATTTCAGAAGAATGGCCGATTCTATCAAGAAAAAGGGGATTCAAGAATAAGTTACTGTTGCCATTAAAAATTGTATATTCCATTTCCCGCCTCTCCGAGTCATGTATTATAGCTTTAGCCCCATTTATGGCTTACCAAGTATACTGTTATGTACTATTTTGTACCTCACAAAAATTATACATTCCAGAATATGTGCTTGAATATGGTAGAGAACGTAACTTTATATTACCTCAATTCAGTGAAAACTTTACAAGGGAACCAGACCATTGGTGTTACTTACCATTCCCCCTGGCATATTCATATGTACAAAATCATTATTGGAATGTTGGCTTTTTACGGTACTACCAGTGGAAACAGTTTCCTAATTTTATCCTAGCTGCTCCTATTGTTTTCCTTGTTCTGTGGAATTCAAAAATTTACTTTCTTCAAAACAAAAAAATACTTTTAAATCTTGGATTGAAACTTGGAGACAAAACAGAGAAGTCAGATGAGCTGCATTCCAAAATGCCAGCAAACATGTTTGTGTTTGTAGTCCACGTCGTGTTTTTGACAATCTTCTGTATGGCATTTGTTCACATCCAAGTAGCAACAAGAATGATTTGCTCAGCAAGTCCAGTCCCTTATTGGTTTGCTGGATACATGCTTAATTATAGACTGAAAAGTGGTTCAAGTAGTAAAACAAGAGATCCTAAAACATTAGTGACTAGTCAACTTAAGAAACTCCAGGCTAGGAGATCTAAATATGGTGTTTACAAAGAGTCTAGTTTATCAATAGAGTTATTAGACAACATGAATAGTAAGTGGCAAGTAATTTTATTATCCCACACACCTAACAGTCAAGGAAAATGGGTACTGTTGTATTTTTCCTTGTATGCTCTTATAGGCACTGTTTTGTTTAGCAATTTCTTACCATGGACCTAATATTGAAATAAAAGAAATCGAAATGATATTCCTCAATTTTGAAGCAAATAATTGAATGAATTCAGTTACATATCACTATTCACTCAAATATTTGCGACTGATGTTAAAGAACTTTGCATGGATACAAAAATCTTCCCACAGTAAGTAACAGACAATGAATACAATTTTCAACAAGCTTTGATCAAGAAACAGGGAAACATATCACAATAACAAGTGCCAAACTAGCACAAAAACATGTCAAGACATTTCATTCTCATCACTTAAGCTTTTTTTTGTCCTCTTTTGGGGCACTGGAGTCAATTCAGAATTATTGTTTACTTGTCTGCCTTCTGTACCACTATCAGAATCAACTGATGCACTAGTTGACTTTCTGCGTGATTTGACCTGAACATCACTGGTTCCATTGATGTTGCAGTCTACCTCAGAACCGGGCCCAGATAGTGAGACTGATTTCTTCCTTTGACGTCCTGGGCCTTCACCGTCAGAGCTAAACGAGGAGTCTCGTCTTCGACTGCCTGATCGAGGGCCTCTTAATTTAGAGGGAGATGTAGGTGGTGTCTGAGGTTTGTGCCTAAAAGCGTCATTGAGGCTCCTCTGACGAGCTTCCCAGAAGGATTCCATGCGGTGTATAATTTCAGAATGCCTAAAACAAAAACAAGAAAAAGATTTATTTTGATATTGGTTTTTCAGTTTGAATACTGATAAGATGATAACAGTAATCATCTTTTACATTTTAAATACCTTTCAATAAAATCCTTATCTAGGGGTAGTTTTAACTCCCATCCTTTATTCTTTTTCAGCGTGGCAATTCCTTCTAATATTTCTAGGAGTTCAGCAGTTGGAAGTTTCACAATTTTGTTGATGGCTATGCGATCAACATATTTATGCTGAGTAAATTGGAGTAGCTGAAAATTTCAATTCAGAATATTCAGAATTCGCAGAATAGAGTTGTTTGATAATAAGGCACAACTTAAGACAAATACACAAAAATGTAGTTTGAATTGCAACTTTACCACATAGTCTCGACATCGAACCATAACTTCTGATGGGATACCACTCACAGCGCTAAATGTTTCCTTAGGATAGATAATATCACTTCGTACAATCCAGTTTCCACGAACTAACAAGGCTACATTCTGTATGGATTTTAAAACTAGCTGCACATCTACAGGACCAGGTAAAAGTGTCATGAGGTGTTTGAAAGAAAGCAGGCGAGCTTCTTTCATGATAGATCGTACTTGATCTGCAAGATTCATTGCTTTTAGGCATCGTTTGGAAGCACCACTGGTTGATTCATCTACAGCATCAGGATCAATTAAGTATTCTAGGTAATCCTTATCATTGAGATTAAGATCTGCAACCTGCTCAGTTATCTGCGCACAATACAATTTTGAGCGTTCTAGTTCTGCTTCATCAGCGTTTGCTGTCACATATTGTGTATGATACCATGGCTCACTGGAGCTCATTTTACTGTGGTAATCGTAAGATTGCTCTCGTGCTTTCTTCAACCTGTCATTTTCCTGTCGTGCAAATTTAACTTTGACCTATTAAAAAAAAAAAAAAATTAAGAGAAAAAAAGGATTAATGAAACAGAGCTAAGAAAAAATAAGATCTCAGAAATGTAAGATGTATATTTAAAAGTAGTTTCAAAAAATATCTTAAGTACACATTACCTGTTTCAGCTCCTCCTCCTCTTCTCCACCAGATAACTCATCCTGATTGTTAGTTGGGCGCTTATCTGATTTGTCCAGATAGCTAAAAGTTGGTCTCAAACTAACAATCCCGTTTAAAGGAGTCAAGTGCAGTTCTCCATCATTTAACACACCAATTGCATAGTTACTTGTGTCAGTAAGGAGACGACTAGATTTCAGAGTCATATGATCCATTTTACCACTGTAATTAGAGCAGAGCAATACATCTGTGTTTCACAATGTATAACCGATAATAATACAAATAGTCTTCATAAGAAAGCTTGTAGACTTATTCTTTTTACCTTGGGAAAACTGGCTCATCACCAGATTTACTTGAACTTGACACACCATCTGCATTGATAGCAATTTGTTCTCCCCTGCCAGAATCATAATTAGCAGATCGAGTATCTATGCCTAACTCAAGTTCAACCTCCTGAAGTTGAGGTTTGATGCTACTCTTCACTACGGGATTTTCGGAACAAGTTGAAAATGCAGGTCTTGTTGGGTATTGATAGATAAAAAGCTGCTTTGCCAATGTTTGTGAAACGTAGACTGGAATCTAAACAAAAAACATATTTGTTTAACAATTTAGAAAACTGTATTTATGAAAGATACCCTACTCTCATGGCGCTAACTAAACTAATGCAAAGGATTTATTGAACACTCTAAATTTTATTGACATAGATTTTTTTTAACCTAATGACAAACCACATACAATATGACACAAAACAAAATTGATACAGACAACAACATAATTGACGTTGCCATATAAAACTGTGAAATTTTGGTGGGAATTCCCAGTTATTCGTCATGAGTTGTTTACAATATCGAAAATAAACCAACGCCAATCAAGCGCCTCACCACGTTTTATAAACATTGCGCTTGCACGCAAAGGTTAAAGATGCTAGTATGAATACGCTACCTCTTGAATGACATCGTCATCCTCTTCGCTCATTTTCTAGGGCGTGCTAAAAGGGAAAATCAATGACAGCCAGAAACTCAAAATCTACAACAACATGTCAGAACTAATGGATTAATTGCGTTCGGTCATACGATCCGCGGACAGCGGACAACAACCGCCATGGGTTTGAGCAAGATATGTGACAATTAGGAGGGTTATCGGGGTTATCTAAGAGCCGTCGCACCCTGTTACGAGGCTAGTAAATGCGTTATGGTAAATTCGAACTCACTCTTCAAATCGGATATTTCCATTAACATGGCCATATACTGGCCACGCTTCTCTTGATCTCAGGTTGAACTTTATTTTGCGCTAATCGATCATCTTGACAGTCGATAAAAATTAACACGGTTCGATGTCAGCGGGGTACCTTAAGTCATATCCTCGGGTTTTGGCAACAGGTGAATCTTGTGTGAATAGCTCCGCCCGAGGCTTCAAAACTCGTATTGCTATCTCTCTCCCTCGCGCGCACTGACACTGACGAGTAAGAGTGAGAGGTGAGATGGCCACCTAGCTGACACCTTCGTACACATCTCTCCCGTGAGTCATCGAACTCCAAAATGGCGTAAAGTAGTGCGCGTCCCTGCTGGACCTTTTTTTGTGTGAGGGACAACTTCAAAAAGCTTTACCGGCCATGGTAAGCGCGCGATAAACGCTCGACTTAATTTTCTAACGGAAGCTGAGACGTATTTTCGTTTGAAATGAAGAAGGTATGCGGGCGTAGGCATACACAGTGAAAAGGATTAGGGATAAAGTTGAAGCACCTCACACCCAGTCGTCGTTTGTTTTGTTTGGCGGGGACGTAAACAATTCTGCACTTTTAACCATTAATTTGTACACAATAACGGCATCAAGCTGAAACATCTACGAGTCCTTGGTATGTTCGACATTTTGGGTATGCAGTCGGTGTCAATCCGACCAAGAAGAAGCCGTACGAAAGCCCCAAAGTGAGACGTCAGGGGTATTGTTGGGCGGACACCGGCGTCCGGATAAGCCTAGAAGTCGGTGACTGTGTTGTCAAACCTAACCTCCCCTAGCTAAAATTCGCGTCTGTAAACCCCCAGTTTCCCTTCTCCTTTTCCAGGGGCGCTTCATGTACCTATTACTAGTTGCTTTATGCTTGAATGTACGCGCCCAATCTGTCGTAGCCCGAACCGAGGTATCTTCTCACACCGATTAGGTATGTAGGGTAACGAGATGGGTATATGTTTGGGCGACTCCGTGTCCAGTGTACATTACGGGTACGTGGACCTCTGATGTTCGTGGTCCTCAGTTTTGACCCTGGGGCCGCTCGTTCTTCGACACGGTTATCTCTGGCTGGTGGACGACACGCTGAACCGCGCCCGGCTCCCCGCCTGACGAAGTTGTCTGCCCGCCGGCGGAGATTCAATCGTAATGTCATGTCTTGGTTAGGTTTCTTAACACGACTCTTTGTGGTGCTGCCAGGGTTCTGACCCTCTTGTACGATTATTCCCTGACTTTTAAACCATATATTGCATTTACATTTGGGTGTGAATTATCACTTTATCTCCTGCCCTCTTCTTGATACAAATGAGAACTAAGATTTCCCATGGTAAGCATTGTTTATATTTTTCCAGGACATGCTGAAGTTTATAAGAGGGAAGGGGCAGCAGCCCACCGCCGAACGTCAAAAGCAGCAGCGAGAACTATTTGCCTTCAGAAATGTGAGACAGCTGACAATATTTCTATTATCGCCGATCTCTATTTTGCTTGTTACCCATTGCATTAATTAATTGTTTCTCAGACGCTTCACCATGGGTTCCCTAATAAACCCTCAGCCCTGGCTTGGGATCCTGATCTCAGATTGATGGCCATTGGCACTTCCTCTGGAGCCATCAAAGTGTATCCTTTTTCTAACAACTATTAGTTTGCAAATCAAAAAGTAGGCAACTAGGTGTAAATTTAAACATGCTATTTTTATTTTTTTTTAAAGAAAGCTTTTGCTCTTAATTTTTATGATTGTGGGGAAAATGTTGGTTTCCAACTAATTTGAGAAATTTTAAAAATCACAACTGTTGCTTCAAACTGTCTCAATTTGTTTCCTTAACTCATAGCCCAGTGTTGGAAACCCTGGCGTTGAATTTTATGGGCAGCATCAAAGTAATGAGAGTCCAGTCACAAGGATTATTTTCCTGCCTAACCAGGTGAGAGTTAGTAAATGTATTGTTTATCTACTTAAAATTAAGTCATGATTATTAATCGACATTTTCTGATTTTAGGGTCGCCTGGTAACACTGTGTGATGATAATTCACTTCATTTGTGGGAAATAAATGGGAGTTCCCTGGAGGAAGTAAAATCGCAAGCCCTGGAAGGAAAGTAAGTTTTTTTTTATATATATTGATCATCTTAATTTCAAATTTCTTGTTGCAAGAGTTATTAATTTGTTTTGTATATGTCAGGTTAAAAAAGATATCAGCATTATGCTTGGAGTCAGCTGGTAAAAATTTGTTACTGGGGACTGAGGGTGGAAACATTTACTTGCTCAGCCTTGAGACATTTGAAACTGCTGAGCCAGTTATTTATCAAGATGTTGTTCTTCAAAAGTAAGTCACCACTTTACTATTTGCTATTTGAAATTAGGTAAGCTGAGTAGAATGCTCAAAGTCACTAAACCTTGTAACACTCTACATCACAGAATAACTGAAGAGTTTAAACATAACCCTGGAGCTGTAGAAGCCATTGCTGAACAACCAGATCAGCCAGATAATATTTTGATTGGGTACAACCGTGGCTTAATGGTTCTGTGGAACCGTTCAACATCCACCGCTGAGCAGGTAGGCACCAATCAACTTCAATTTTCCACATTCTCTCTCACATACATTTTCAATTAATTTACATATCTGTTTCCTTTTAGACTTTTGTCAGCACTCAAGACTTAGAAAGTATATGCTGGCATGACAGTGGAACGAAATTTACATCCTCTCACAATGACGGCAGTTATGCTATCTACAATGTTCCCAAAGGCACAGAGCCTCTTAAAGATCCTATCTCCCCTCATGGACCATTTCCATGCAAAGCTATGACAAAGTTACTGTGGAGACAAGCAGAGGGGTAATTAGTGCACCACTTATGTGTATTTTAATTAATTTGTTTTCTTCTTAGCAAATCTTATGAGTGTCATTTCATATTACAGAGATGATATGATTATTTTTTCTGGAGGTCTTCAAAGAGCCACTCATTCTGACCGCTACTGTATCACTGTGAGTCAGGGTGAAAAGATTGTGGTTTTTGACTTTACATCCAAAATTATTGACTTTTTCACAATCACCCCTGTAGAGGGTATGTTTACATTTATACATTATTACTATTGTTAGCATTATTTTCATTATGTTTCTCTTATTGACCCTTAAACAATTTTTTTATCCAGACGCATCTGGTCCAGAGGCTCTTGTTGTTCTTGCTGAGGAAGAAATTGTTGCTATTGATTTGCAAGCAGATGATTGGCTTCAAATCAATCTGCCATACCTGGTTTCTGTACATGCCTCATCAGTAACTTGCAGTCAGTATGTTTCTGATGTGTCCCCAGAATTGTGGGAGAAAATTGAAGCTTGTGGGAAAAAACAAATGGAGGGTCAATTTTCTAATAAGGTGAATAGGGTAGATCTCTGTATTGCGTGCACTGTAAAATTATGAAGAAATCTCTTTCTAATTTTTTCTTATTTCACAGAAATGGCCGATTGATGGAGGAGTCATTACCGATGAGAAACCTGAGCCTCGTGATTTGCTGTTGACTGGTCATGAGGATGGCTCTGTTCGCTTCTGGGCAGCTGGTGGGGTAGCTCTGCGTCCTCTATATAAACTTACCACCTCAAACTTCTTTCACAGTGATGACATAGCCCATGATGATCAAGCAGATGATGACGATGACAATGGATGGCCTCCCTTCAAGAAGGTTGGATTTGCACAGATTTAACTACTATGATTCATTATGTAAACAAATTTCAAATCTTATTTGCTTCAATTTCAGGTTGGATTTTTTGATCCTTATTCTGATGACCCCCGCTTAGCTGTAAAGAAGTTGGCTCTCTGTCCTGTGTCAGGAGTTTTAGTCGTAGCTGGGACAGCAGGACATATAATCATAGCGGACTTGGAAGACGAGGCCAAGGAAGATGATATTCCTGTACGTTTAGAAAATGCTCTTCAATAAGTCAAGTTTTCTTTAAACACATATTTTGGTGGTCCATGAATAAATCTGATCTATGCTCTTTTTTTTCCAGGTCACTGTTATGAATATTGTGTCGGATAGAGATGGATTTGTTTGGAAAGGTCATAGTCACTTGGCTGCTCATGAGAACAAAGTAAAGATTCCAGCTGGGTTTCAGCCAACGTCTGTTCTCCAATTGCATCCACCTGTGGCTGTGACTGCCCTTATGTTGCACTCAGATTGGGGTGTTATAGTTGCTGGCACTGCTCATGGCCTTGCTCTATTTGATTACATCCGCAGCAAACCTGTGGTTACCAAATGCACTCTGAACCCAAATGGTTAGCTTATACTTTAGTTAAAATATTCCGTGTGCTCCGATATAAGCCTTCCATTTTCTAATCTATATCTATCATTGAAGACTTGTCCGGGGCCGGAGAACAAGCAATCTCACGCCGCAAATCATTCAAGAAATCACTCCGTGAATCTTTTAGACGACTTCGCAAAGGTCGCTCAACACGCCATGGTGACAAACGAGGGGGTGCTACTTCTGGAGTTACTTCACCAACTTCCCCTGCAGGCAATGAAAGGAGGAGGGAGGGGTAATGAGTTCTTTCATCTATTTTCTCAACCTAATAGTGACTTTCTTATTGCTTTTTTAAATTCTTGTTTTAATCTGTGTTTCTTTTTGGATGCAGTGATACAAATGCTGCTACTTTGGAGCCTAAACCTATTGAGCGTCAAGTTGAAGCTCGACCTGTTGATGATAGCCAGGGCAGTATGGTGCGCTGTGTGTACCTGGCTCGCACTTACATTGTCAGTGTTCAGAATACCACCCCCACAATGTGGGCAGGTACCAACAACGGAACTGTGTACGTCTTTACCTTAGCTATTCCACAAGGTGCCAAGAGGAAGGATGACGGTGTGCATTGCCAGCTGGGTAAGTTTTTAACTGTGTGCTAATCATAAATTTAATTTCTCAATAAGCATGCCAAATGACATGCACTTGCATTTAACAAGTTATTCTGGGGAAAACGTAAACTGTAAATTACCGTTACAATAATTCCTTATTGTCATGTACATTTTATTTTAGGTAAGGAAATTCAACTGAAGCACAGGGCCCCTGTTATTGGAATATCAATAGTTGATTCTGCTGGTGTACCTTTGCCTGAACCTCGTCAAAAGGGACCAGAACCTGTTGGACCTCACAGAGTTATTATCTCATCTGAAGAACAATTCAAGGTACAGTGACCCGAAATGGAAAATAAATTGTACCTATCTAGTAGTGAATTTACTACTTTTATCTGTTTGCCTGTTTGTATAGATGTTCACTCTTCCAAGTCTCAAGCCCCTTTGCAAGCTTAAACTCACTGCTCATGAGGGAAGTCGCGTAAGACGAACAGCCATGGCCTTATTTAAATCTGTATCAGCAGCAAACCCTCAACATTCAGAGTGGTGTCTTATTTGTTTGACAAACATGGGTGATTGTATTGTGCTGTCTACCCCTGACTTGAGAAGGCAATTGAATGCTGCTGTGATTCGTCGAGAAGATGTGCAGTATGTATTCTTCACTTTATCATGCCAGATGCATTGTGCTTTCCAGCACTGTAATAACTGTAGGTTCGTTAACTTGATAGAATGACAGTCTAAATTTATCACTTTCATCGTTTTCCTTTCAGTGGCATATCCAGCCTTTGTTTTACTAAACATGGAGAGGCATTGTACCTTCACTCCTCAAGTGAATTGCAGAGAGTTGCTCTCTCTGCCCAACATATTACTCTAGCACATTGTCACCTCAATCTCCCACCTGGTGTAAGACCACGTAAAGATGAGGATGAAAATGAAGAAGAGTGTATCCAGGTATGGGCTTAGCTGTATAACCGTAATATTGACATTTATGAGCAAGTGTCTGTCTTACACAAATAGTTGTCTTTCAGGAAGAACAAGAGGGAGAAGATGTAGAAAAAGAAAGCACAGAGGTTGAAGTAGTTGTTAAGCAGGAAGCTGAAGAAACAAGTGAAAGCTCCCCTGACAAAAAAGAAGAGAAAAAAATATCCTCTCCATCTCCTACTCCCAAAGCTGCTAACACCACTGCTCCAATGGTCAATGGAGGTACAGAACCTACTGGAAAAAAAGAAAAAGGTTAGCTAAATGTCTTTGCATGTGTTTTTCTGTGAATTATGGGGTATTGTGATGTCTCATGTTCATGTGCTGTGTTTAAAATCTGTGGCAACCTGTGATGTTTACCTAGCTGTTTTTGAAAACTTGAAAACATTACTCTTTTTCTAACCCAAGCAACGTATTGTAGGCAAAGTTTTGAAGTTAGTTAGAGCATGTCAAAGTTCTCTTAGAACTGGTTTTCGCCTTTTATACATGTACATTTTGACTGAATTTCATGTTACCTAATTGCTTCTGTTTAATATCTCTTAAATGAGCTTGTGTGAAACTCCCCTTTAATGTCATTCACCCTAGTACAAGAGAATTAAGTTCCTGTAATTTTTATTTCTTAAAAACAAAACTAACTAACAATCATGAGTTTATGGTTACAAAATTTATGTGTAGCATGATTTAAATCATAGAGTAGGGTGCCACTCAAAGGGGAAATAAACACACATGATTTGCCTTTCCTTTGCGCGCTTTGCTCAGTAGTGGTGTGGCTTGAATTGCAGAAGTGAGTAGCAATAACATTGATGAGCCAAAGGAAAATGGTGTTTCTTCCGAAGAGGAACGTTTGGAAATCAGCATGGGAGACATCACCATTGATTCAGTCAAGGACCATCTGATGTAAGTTGTATACCTTAGTGGCTGTAATAGACAATTATATATTTTGCATGTCATGTTATTCTTATGTAAATTTGTACATTCTTGTTCCAAATTGACTATGTTGCAACAAATTCTCTTAGTAATTTCTCAGTACATTTGTTTTTGGACACCATTTTGTCAATGCCATTATTGCCCAGTTCTCTGGCACTGGTTTTGTCTATGCAAAATGCTTTGCTCTGTGTTGCTTATTGTCATGGGGGCTTTGCTTGCACAGAAATTGCTCTGCATTGGAGGAGAGCCGAGTGACGACCGAAAAGATTGAAGTGAAGAACAACAGTTCTTTGTCTGAATCTGTGATAGTCAAAACAACCACTACGATTATCAGCAATGAGGAAAGTACCAACAATACCACACCTGCTGTTGCTGAGAGTAAGTAGACTAACATTGTTTCTCAAATTTATATAAATGCATGGAAATACAGTTTATATTTACTAGTGCTAGTGCCTTGCTAAAATTAAGCTTTGCGTCTTTGGAAGCACAGTCCTTTTTCTTATAAACATTGACATTTTTCTGTGTGTATGGGACCAACTATATTTGTTTTTCCGTGTTTTGGTCTATGAATACTCTTCACATTCTTTATGCTGTTCTTGTTATCCTTTTGTTTTTCTAGAAAGGCGTGCTTGTCACTTAAAAGAAGTTTCCCTGCTTCTTTCCTTCTTTTGGCAGCTCATTGTGCTAGTATTTACTTGCGTATGTTGTTACATCTTAGGCAACGTCGCGGAGTCCCTGACATTGTCAACTTCTCGAACATATGCCCACGAGGTCAGGACTTTACCCTTTCCCATGAAAAAGTGACATATTTTATTAGTAATTGGTTACATATCAGAACCATAATAGAATGTCATTTTGCCTTATGTCTTGCTTGGTTTGAGCTAGTGGGATCCGTTTATAACACTGGCAGTGGAACCATGAAAAAGCAAGCTTTTAGATAATCCCAATATTTAAGCATTCTGTGTAAAACACTAATTTTTTTAACATCTAGCATAAAGGGCTTATGTTATAGTCGGATCCCACATACCTAAAACACAAAATTATTACTAGTTCTCTTCAATCTTAATTTTAGTGCATGGACACTTGTCTTAAAGTTAGATGCATGTTAAAAAAAAAAAAATCCCTTACATTTTACTATCCTAAACAGTATTAAATCTTCTGTCCACTTTTTAAACTTTTGTTCTTGGTGTCTGGTCTTGTTTGATCTGTTGTCAGTAAAGTATGTTTGAAAACTTCTTTTTTTTTTTTTTTTACAGATTAATTCATTGAAGGCACCTTTAGCGCCTGCAGAAGACTTGGAACTGGATATGACTACATAGTACTTTTAAATCATTGGGCTTTTATCGTTTTCCCCTTTTAAAAACAAAAATTGTCTTATATATTTTATCTCTTATAATTCTTCACTAAATCTCCCTGAGCATAGCTCTTGACTTAACTCCATAATTTCAACAAGTTAGTACTCATTACTACTGAATTCAAGTTAATTTTACTTAATTTTTGACGTGCATTGTTACATAATAATGTTACAGTGTTACTTGATTTTAATTCTGACTTTGCTGGAAGGAAGCTAGCATATAATTTGTACCATACAATAACATTTTACTGTTCAACTGTCTAATATTTCTTATGGGTATGTGAATTGAACTCGCTATTTTTTTCTCAAACATTTGACTATGTACTCTGGGAGTGGGAATAGTACTTAACATTCCATCCTGACCTACTGGCAGAATAAAAGACTGTTTCTGATGTTACTTGAATTTGAATTCTTTTATTTTTTACATCAATTTTAAAAACAAAATTTGTTTGGCCAGATTGCACTAAGCCTTCTCATTATTAACCGCAAAAAGTGGGTGAAACAACCATTTTCTTCTTGGCGTTTTTCCTTTTCCGTTTTGGTTTTTGGAGAAGCTTCATGTTCCTATACTGTGTGCTCATTTTCATGTTCAAAGTTCTGCAGTAAAAAGATACTGTCAGATATTTTTGTGACCTTTTGACCATATTGTTATCTTTCACTTTTGCATCTGCTTGAACTGCGGCCTTATTTTCATTGATGTATGTATTATTTGTCTGGACCTGTAAAGAGAAATTTACTTGTGATATATTTGGCTGCTCTATAAGCCTAGTTATTTTGATACTGCAGTATCATAAAGGATGTGTACTTAAACACTCCATAATTGGTGTACCATGCTCAGAGAAAA